CCCACCCGCTTCCCCGATAATTCCCTTTCATGTTTGGCAACCTCAGGAGGCTAGTCCGATTGCGTTCCGCGGTCAGCCCCCTCCCCCCGGTTAACAGCAGCTTCCCACTTCATTCCCTTTCATTTTTGCCAACCTGTGGAGGCGTAGGCCTACTCGAGGTCTGTAAATTGCGGACGGAAGAAGGAACACGAGAGTTATACCCTTATGTAAATTGCGGACCGACCCAAAGAAGGGCATAGGTAAATTGCGAAATAACTACCTCATCCCGTTCGGGGAAGAAAGTGGAAGGTGATCTACTTTCGAAGATAATTTCCATAGCAATTAATTTTAAAACAACTTCCTCCCCAAATTTACGGACTTAAGACTGGCATAGTTCGTTCGCAATATGGTTTGATTAAATTTGGTTTTCATTCAATTCAATCATTCGTTGAACGAATGAATTTTGCTTATCTTGCCATTTTTATGTTCTTCCTTTTTCCTCAGCTAACATTGAACATGAAATATGGGCATTCTCCCGGTGCTTTCTTTGCTTTTCATTTTGATATAAAAGAGAGTCTTGAGGATTTTCAATAAACCACAAGGAAAAACTGGACAATAGCGGAGGCGGTGGCAGTTGGGGATCGCCCCCCCCCCCCCCCACTTACGCGCTTCCCTACTCAATTAGTCCCTTTATTTACCTGGTTTTGTTTGTTCCGTAACTTACACGTCGACTTAGAAAGTAAGTTTCCTTAGAAAAGATCGAGGGATGATTTGGTCCGCAATTTACATACGGCCACCCTACCGTACGAGATGGTCAGCTTTCCCCACAAACGCTTCCCGATTAATCTTTCATTTTTGGCTACTTGAGAAGCCACAACTCACGCGGTCTCATTTCCGCTCATACCTGCTTCCCAGTTAATTGACTTCAAGACATACCCGGATTGTATCCCGCATTCTCGTTCTCTCGCACACGCTTTTCAGCATAATTTTGACTACATGAGAATTAACATCCTGATTGTATCCCCATTCCTTCACACATACTTCCCAGTTAATCTCCTTTCATTTTTGGCTACCTGAAAACGCATAGTTCGATTGCATCCCGGCCGGGCTTTTGGGATAGGGAAGTGGGAAATTTTTTTAAGTAATGCAAATGGATGTTCTCACACCAGTCGAAAATTAAACTAACACAGGTGAATGTCGCACCATCTTCGGAGCTGTATGCAATTTAACTAAAACACACGTATTTTAATTCCATATATTTTAAGGTAAGACCATGGGCCCTCCCCACCTTCAATATTGGAGCAGTCCTCTGTATAGGTAGAAATCAAGTTCAGTAAATTGAGAGTATTTGAAACAATTTAATTACAAAATAACTAGCTCTCCTTAGGATACAATCGGGTTATGCTTTTTTGGAGTAGACTTAAGAAATGAGGACTGTGGGATGCAATCGAGGTACTTTCGTCCAAAAGAAGCGATTTGCAATGGTAGTGGGACGTCGTGTTTGTCAGATGCCATAGTTTCAGACGTTAGTTCACATCATAGAGTGAAATATTACAACTTCATTTTATATTTGAAAATGTATATACGTAATTTAGTCACAGCTATTGATAAGCAATTATGTATAATCTACCCATTTTGTGAAATTACTATTTTAGAGAGTCGATATGATTAATGAATTACTCTGCCCAGTCATTATTCATAATAAGTAGTGTGGCTTATCTGAAGCAAGTCTCTCAAACTTAATTTTAGTTTTTGTGGATTGAATAAAAGGAGATGCCACACTGGCCACCGTTTAAGCTCGCAAAACTTTAACAAACATTTTGGTCGTAGTAGTCACTGAATCTGCTTAATGGAGGCATACGTCAGAGACTACTCTTTTAGAAGAAATTGTCATCTGAAACTTTTTATTTGTCTATAAACTGCGGTTTGCCAATACCCAGAACTCCCACAGCTTGATCATATCATACCTTTAAACATTGTCGGAACAGTTTAAATAGCAATTGATCTGTGACTAATCGCGCCATCTCAAACGTTGGTAGTACTGCTGACCCGTGGATACTCCTTTGTGCCTTTTATCTAGGGACCTAGGGTCTCTATAAATGTCTTCTGCTGGCAATTCAATGCTTGGTTCAAAATCTAAGTCCAAAACATGAGGCGAGCTTTTGATGTCTCGGCCCACTGTGTTGGGTGATCCCAGCAGACTCTTCGTTAGCACGTGCGCATTGGTGGGGCACCACGAAAAGTGCTTATGCATCTCCAAGAAGGGATTGGGAATGAAAGCGGCATTGACGTCTGTAGGTGGAGAGGATTTAAGAAGAGTCTTATTCAATGGCTCCCATACCGATTTGGGGTTTGGGATACTCTTATGGTTTCTTGTGAGTGCCATATGTCAAATAATGGTAAGGATTAGTTTTGTACGAAAAACTTTCCTTTAAGTCCTTGTACAAAAGCTTAGCTCTTTTTGAGTGCCCATGCGGTAAATGCGAGAATGGATTATGAAATTAGTACTCAGATTTCCTAAAACCGATTATCTTTTGCTGTTAATATTCATTAAATACTGAATGGTAAGAGAGAACTCCTCGCTATTCCAAGTGGGCACAATTTATTACATGAATACTAATGCTTTTCTAAATATCACTCGTATTTATAGTAAATCTGATTGAGCCAAATACTTCAGAGTTCTATGTGATACACACATGTGAAATGTTTCAGTGTTCTATGTGGTGATTGTAAGTAGTTGATCTTAAAGTTGGCTAGATTATTTTCATTCTTATCGATATTTCATGATAAAAAGAGACAGCCGCCCCGAGCGCCAAGTTGAGAAGTCCCCTAACAGATTTTTGTTGATAGTAAGAATGTTTGAGTTTCCCAGTTTCCCATGTCAATAAATGTTCTCATCTTCTAAAATGGAACAAGTAAATTGGGTTGCGAGGGTTACGTGATAACGTGAATCTTCTATTTTGTTACGTGATCGGTGATGGGGACGGATTTTGATGACCTAAAACATTGCCAAAAATGATAAATAAAATGCTTTAAAAATGCCCTAAAAACAAAGAAAACTCGCGTAAAACATTTGATTAAAACCTCAAAGTGAATAACAAAGGCGCAATTGGGCATGTTACGGATGTAATTGAGACTTCTTCCTATTGTTCAAGTGAACTCTTGCACTCTTGATTTGTACTGTTCGTTAAAATAAAATGTGTCTTCATTTATTGCGAAATCGGCCGAACTGACAATAGCGCCGACAGGCGTCACAGGAGCCTTAGATTACATAGTCGCAACGGCTAACATTACACTATATGAGAGAATAAATTAAATATTCTTCACAGGAATTCAGTGGTGAAAATTTGTTGCACCTCGTAAATATTGTTTCAAGCAAATACCATTAAAATACTAAAATGATATTAAAATCAATGAAATCAGCAAAAAATGCATTAAAAACGACGTAAGAAGGTAAAAAAAAGGTCTTCGCTGAAATCGACGAAAAATGCAAATATAAAAATGGAGCATTTCTTTTTCTCTTAACATGAATTTGTATACTAAACGGCATTGTTTTAAAGTGAAAAGAAAAAAATGGCATTTAATTAAAATCTACCCCCTAGTGATAACATTTCTGTACAGAAAAATTCGATGTTCCAATTAACGAAATTTATTATCCCAACGTGCTTCCTCACATCATTATTCGTAACCCCCATTCCCCCCAAGCACAGGCGGATATAGGGGAGGGAACCATGGAGCCATGGGCCCCTCCCCAAAAGGCCTCGAGTTGTCCAGTCCCTTCATTTATTTGCCAACATTTATTGAAATATTTATTTATGTTTAAATTACGTAATTATTTAAATCAATAATATTGCAAAGTGTCATATACACACTACAAAAATAATACACTACAATATAATAACATGTCTTTATTATTTAACAAAATATACGATTACTCCTCCCCCCATGATCGGGTGGATCAGCACCTGCCTCCAAGAGTAATTGTCAACAATTGAGTGCAAGATTCTCATTGATTTCTAAATAATACCACAAGAAAAGCCAAGACATTTTCAAATATCGAATATAATCTCAGAATGTTACATGTATACATTTATAAAGTAAGTTTTCTGTGAAACATTGAACAAAGGAATGGGAGATCATGAAGCTACATCTCATATGTTGAGAATGAATAAGTCTGAAATATGGTCACTTTTTGTAACTACTGCAGACAATTCGATTTGACAAGCTACTATGTAAGCAGAACGTTCGTTATCTTTAGTAATACGACTAAATTTTATGTGTAGTCCTTTTTACACCGCAGAAAGGCAAAAATTTGAAAATGATTTTGATTTTGCCAATATAAAAAAAAATAACAGTTCCTTCTACTGTGTTGCGAATGTTAAACTAATGTAAAAAAGTTTCAAAGATTTTACATCACATGCCTACCAAATTTATTAATGGAAAGTCTCAAGGGAGTTTTGAAAATAAAATTCCTCTTTAGTCATCTTAATATTTAGAGATCTGGAGACCTTGAAATGAAGTAGCAGAGTTTCCAAGAAAACATCAGTAAAACAGGTCATAACATCAGTAGTAATGTTATGTAAGGACATACAAAACAAACCTAGCCTCGTCAATTCATTCAGTTCAAAGAACTGGCCTTTCAGAATGTTAAACAGGTATGTGGAGTACGTTCGGAGTAAATTCTTGCATAAATGCAGTTCGGAAGCGCCTTTTTTCCACCTGTAAAGCCTGTTTGCCACGTCATTGAGTCATAATTTTTCGCCGGTACAGAAAAGACACAGACTAGACTGGATGTAATTTGTACGAAAAAATGACGTACGTTTCATTTCTCAGTTCAGATTTCATTCAGTTTGACTACCGCGCTCCTAGCGTCATTTTTCTGGTTTGTCATGCGTTTAGTGTGATTTGTTCCTTTTGAAGTTTCGAGAGAGTTCTGAAATCGAATTGTAATGTAATGTGTCGAATTGTAATGTAATGTAGTGAGAAATAAATCATGTCCTGTATTCTAATGTCACCGCGTTCCCTGCTCAGTCCAAATACAACCTAACTTAATTTGTTACCATAGATGCGATGTTCAAATGTTTGATCTTCAGCGCTTTTTGTGGCATCCGGAGGAAGTAGTCCGCCGTCCTAAACGCTGTTAATTTCCTTATTGTGAAAGGTTATTTTCTCTAGAATTTCCCCTCCGCAGTTTTCTCGCAGGCCTAGCGGAAAGACGCCTAAGAAAGTCCACCTATTGGCCCGATAAATAAAGGAAAATGAGCTGTGTTAATAGCTTGGAAGTTTCTTGTGTTTTTGTTGCGTGGGAAGGTCACCAGCCCTTCGCACAATTCCAAACAGGTGAATCGGTTGTTAACTACCTCATATCAGCCTCCCCTTAGTTTTTAATTGTTGAAGAAATCAATGGCGAAGAACAATCTTACACACCGCAATGGTTGCAATTTTTCGAAAGAATGTAACAGACACGCATTCTTATGCAAGCTTTCAAGTACATACCCCACGATGGAAGAGATCCAAACAAACCGTGATGAATTTCTTTCAAGCAGGGACAGGTCACACCCCTAGCTTTAAAGCTGATGTTAAACGAGAATAGAAGTGCACGATGAAAATTAGAAATAGTACCGCACGACCTGTTCCAATGAACAAAACTGAACTATTGAGAAAAACTATGGAAACGATTGCACACAATTCAATACCCATGCTGTTTCGTAGTTGTAAATAACGTTTCTTAACATGGAGCGAGAAAGGGACCAATCTTACGTACGTATATATAAATATTATATATATATATATATATATATATATATATATATATATATATATATATCATGCAGTTAGTCTCTTATTTTAACGTCTTTACTATTTATTTTCACATTACTTTTAAACGTGAAGCGAAACTCAAAGGCTAATAGCCGTTTATTTATTTATCATCGCAAACAAAACTGCAGTTGATATGCGGGGAAAGTGCAATTTATTCTACATAGTTAAAATACAAATAAAAGTACCAACGAGCTTGTTTGGAATTTAAGTACATGATAAAGTCTTGTCCACACTTAAATACAAATACGCATCTATATAATCCTAAATATGCGTGTATGTACACATTATTTACTCCATCCCATTTTATTTTTGTCGTAATTAAATTCGGATTATCAAAAATACGAATTTTTGAAGGTCGAATTATTAACGCTCTGTGTATTAAAGTAAATTTAAGTCTATTTATCTGTATGACAAACAATTCAAAGGAATAACTGCGTAAGATCAACGGATGATCAATTAGTATTAATTTGAAAAACGATTTATGTGAAAAAAAAATTTACCTTAATACAAAAAAAGCTCGAGAGAAACTTCCGTGATTTGTCTCATCAAAAGTTGAATAATTTAATTTGTTTCACTTTTTAAATAATCCTAGTTTTTCGGAAGCCCCTTTCCATGTGATACTCAATAACACTATAGTGCAACCAAAAAACAAAGATATTTACTACCTCTGCTGCAAACATGCCAATTTATGGCTCCTTATTGCTTTAACTATTACTTTCAAAATACAACTCTGTTGCATTGTTCAACTGTGTTGCATTCCTATATTTTCTGGAAATTTCAAATTTGATCTCTATTGGAAATTAATGTTTCTTATCGCTTCGCTTACAGATCTAGTCTTGAAAAAAAATAGCTCGCATAATGAAATTTCTATCGTCATTCTGTATGGCAACGACTTCTCCATTAGTGCTGATATGTTATTCCCTATCATCCCAATGGGATGCAGTAGATGCCTGTATGATATTCACTATCTGCAATTAGGAACTCTAGAATAGATTACAAGCTAAAAACAACTGGCAAACTTCTACAATTCTCGGCTCAAGATTAATGCAGCCATCCACATCTACCCAGCAGATACCATGTACATCCACAACAACTGAAAGCGATAATTCTGAAGGATTTAGATTGTTTTTTATGACAATGTGTATATTGTAATGTTAAAATGGAAACTCCACGAGTTCATGTATCATAATGTAGGTCGTAGGGTTACTATTATAAGCGTTTTCTGTACACAGAATTACTCTTAAAAATTACTTGAACTGTTTTATCGCATCGACATTGAGCCACCTTCTATTTGTGAATCCTAAGTAAATTTTCATAATTGACGGATCATTTTTACCCATAGAGAAATTTGGATTCGAAATTTGGATTCGCAACAAGTGTGTGTTCTTTACATTAGGTTACTTTTTAATAATATAATTTTTAGCGGTCGCAGATGCAGTTAAAAGATTTGATTTACACATATTAATCATGGTATTAATTTTTCAAGTCAAGTCCCTGCTTTCTGAGCAGATTTCCTGGATCATCAGTGTGTGAAATATTAACATTCATTCTTCAAATCCGAAAAAATCATATTGTTGTAAGTAGCATCGTGGAGCAGTCTCCAAAAAAAACAACTAATAAATCAAGTAATTTCTAACTTACTTTTGACATCTTCATTCGAGATTACATTTTATCAGCTTTTCATCGTTTCAAGACCAATTTTTTGTACGTTCGCTACTATACATTGAAGTATTTGAAGCAATCTGTGCGCAAGTTGCAGAATCTGCTACACTTTCCTTAGGCGTACAAAGTTTTGGCATGTAAACTATTTCTTAATGTATCTTTTAAATCACATTATTTTTAATTTTCAAGGAGTGCTGCTTCCACATTATTTAAGCTCTAATAGTGTTTACGAAGATAGTCGCAATGTAAGGTCCGTATACTTCCAGTAGGGATCGTCCCGATTTTCTGAATTCTGACCCGTTGTTCCAAAAACCCCCTTTTTGGGGGGGGACGTCGAATTCTCTTACTTTGCTTCATACTATTTAACGCCGTGGCTAAAATATTAAATATAGTTTTGTCCTAAATACTTACGCATTTCTTATATCCGGGAACATTTCAATAGCATGTTTAAACCCTATTTCAAATAAACATTAATTGTGCATTTTTTCACTTATCAAAAACTGAGCATCCAAGCAAAAACTATACTATTTTCATAATGAAATCAGACAAAATTTTGTTTGAGTGTTTTTATCTAATTTCCCTAATCTCAATAGCTGCCGTGTTCTTTTCTAGCAAAAAACTTAGAATTTTCAAAAACAAAACGTTAATATCTCTTTTTTCGACAAACTGTCTTCTAGCACATCAGACAACTTTGCAGCAATATTCTTACAGTGGATTTATAAAGAATTTACTTTAAAAGTATTTGCCAATTTATTTTCGAAAGATCAAAAGTAGGTTAGATCCCAAGAACAAAACCTCCATGGACCAAATAAACATTGGTAGTAAAAAAAGCACATCTTATTACTTCATGCGTCTCTTGAGATGTCTCAGTAACAGTAGGAGAAAAATTAATATCGCGTTTAAAAAAATGTAAATCCCCTTAAAAAACAAACAAACAAAACACGATCTTGCCTCTTCAGAAGATTATACAACCACTTAACAACTCCATTACGCAATCAGTCATGCGCCGTGTTCTATGAAGTATTTGATAAGCGCACAGCACATGCGATTAGATATTTCCTCTCTCGAGAGTTAACCGGTCACGCTCTTGTTCTATTATCTAACTCAAAATCGCCGAACGGTTACACGCCATCCACATGGCCGCACAGCCACGCGCCTGTAAGAATAACCGGCAAGTGCTGCAAGAAGCACATTGTTGGCAGGTAAACCATGGTCACCTATTTTTAAAAAAAAATCTTTCAGTGCCCACGCCCATGGCATTATGTATGAAGGAAGGTAGTTGAATTCTTTTTTTCTTCTCCACGCACAAGTCACGAAACCACCTTGTGTCCATCTAGTTCAATTTGTCCGCAAACTCGCACGTGAGTATACAGGACACGTTTTTCCATCGGGTCGAATTTTGTTTATTCTGTTACGAAGCTGTGCGATGATGAGTAAACACTAGCGGGCATACAGTGCCAAGACCTTGCGGCGTGTTTTTCCTATAGTTAGATGCTGACGGTGCAGATCGAGGGTGGGGCGTAGGAGAGGGAGCATTTGGACGTCATCGCTTGTTTCCTATTGGCTGTCAGCCATTGTCGCCAGAATGAGGATTGTTGACCTGAGTCAAACAGTGAGAGGCTCTGATTTAAGCTAATACGCAAAACTCGCGACGAAGTCTGTTGAGACAGTAAGACACTTCGTCGTGTATTTCGGATGTGGCCGGATCGTGCAATACATACATTAATTCTTAGTTTTAAGAAAAAGAATACAGGTATGGTCGTCGTTTTAATTCAAATGGTTGCTAAATGTCATTTTACTCACGTTAAAAACCCGAACCACTTAAGTATTTTTATACAGGTGAACTGTCTGAACTGATATTTTACAAACAAGTTTCGTTCATTTAAATGTATAACGAAATCTTAGGTTTAATAAATTTAGCAAATCATATGCAAATCAGAAAATTTAAAGGTCAGCGAACTTTTTTTAATTCGCGACTTACTTTTTATTTCTTGAATCACCGCAATGTCTTCTAATTTCCGCCTGTAAAACCCATTCACAACAACCTCTTAAATCTGACTGATGTTCAGACCTATGTAACTCCTTTGTCAAATACTAAACGATGTTGATTTACGGCAACAATAAATAGGATTTTTTCGATCAGTTTTTCTGTTAGCTTGTGTTGTTAAACTAATGCCATTAATGTCTATTCTCTGTTCACAGTGAATTTCTCACGATTAGATATTGCGTCTTACCAAGGCATGATCTATCTTACGAAACCATTAATCAAATTATTACAAATTACATAATACATGCTAAAATACGAGAGGGGCCTTCGTCGTATAGAAGATTCATTAAGACCTCAATGTCTAATGAACTAAAGACTTTGAATAATGTTCGACGTCTTCGTAGTTCTTTCCTCCTATTGATATACGCGCGTCTAGATTTCACTTTCACAGCGATTGAATCCAGTATAATTTATCACGTAAACGATGTGAGTGTTCATTTTTTTTATTGAAGCAATACATTTTTCTTAATATCTCCTTCTTCGTACAAAAATTTCACGCAGAAACCTTACCTGCGAATCATTAATTGAAATTTTTAGATATTAAATGTAATTCAACTTGTACTCTATGAACGCAGACGTCAGTCAATGATCGGAGGTTCCATCATGAACATGAGGGGCCTGTCGATGTGGTATTTTGTTTTGACGGTCCGGGAGAGGGGAAGGGGTGGAGGAGGGACGCGGCCTCCGTCGCGACGCGGTTCCCGCTGGACCTCGGCCACGGGTCTAATATAGACGCGGCCCCGCCCGCCCGCCCGCCCGCGAATCTTGCGACACATGGTCAGTGGCCACTTTAACCGATCAAGCGGCAATTGCGTCCCTATTGTGCGACGGGTACATTCATATGCCCTTGCTTCCTTCTCCCCCCCGATCGCGTTCGGGCCGCAGATACGCGCTAATGGCCGCGATGAACAGAGAGGCGTTGCAAGTTTGTTGCTCCCATGGCAACTGTCAGACGTACGGGGAATGCTAGCGCGAGCGCGTCAGGTCGGGGATGAAGTGTATACACATACACACACACATACACACACACAGAGTCAGACGTTCACGTACGAACACTTGTGACCTTCCCGTATCGTATCTGCGACCACTCGACTCGTTAGTCACATCCTCGCAGAGAACTTCGAAACGCTAGCTGCGCCACTAGATTACAAGTATGACGGATGTAGCATTTGTCACATCCTCATGTGATGGACGGCCTACAAGTGCGTTCAACGTTTTTGAAGGTTAAATTCCAATATTTTTATATATTAATAAAGATAATAGTGGTAACTATAAATGATAGATAACTATAAAGATAATAGTGGTAACTATAAATGTAGCAAGTGTTGAATAGTTTAAAGAATCACTTACATTAAAAGTAATGCGTCTTTATGAAGAGTGTTCTAGCAGAAGCACAGAACAGTTGACCGATTTTTAGATATTTATCTTCATAATTCTTGCTGCAAAAGCAAATAGGTTACCAGGAGCTTAACGCTTTTTTTTTCCCAGATCGCAATTTTTCACCTCGATCTTTAAGCTTTTATTGACAAGTCACTGGTAAGAAATTTAATAGCAATATCTCTGTTTAAAACCAAAAACCTAAGATAAAACTTCATTAAAAACTCAAGGCAATGTTGAAAAAGGAATGCTCACAGTATTCTCTTGCTTAATCGCTTTTTATCAACGACAGAGCTATCGTGTATATTTGACACGATTTCACCGTAACCGCGTACATTATACGGATAACAACACGTACAAACTACTTTGAAAACAAAACTTTACCATATCTAGTCGAAAGCGCATTTCCGAAGGTTTACACGTAACTTGTTATGCACTCGCAAACACACACATTCGTATCGCATCCAGACAGCAACACTCGTTGAAGAAAAAAAACCTTGCACTATAGCCAACACCCAGCACTGTACCTATTCGCGCAGAATGTATAAACAGAACCTCGTTGTGGCAATGTTTACACCGTCCGGAGGTTGTCCACTAGAAAGCATTTCCTTCCCAGAAGCGAAGCAGGGGCCGAGCGCGGGCCGGGCGGTCGGGTGTGGCAATTAACGCGGGCGCGGTTCCGACGCGCGCAAGCGAGTGCGCGTGTGTGGGCGCAGCGTGCGCGGACTCACCGACGGCCCTGGAGGCGCTGCGCGCGCAGGAGGCCCCGCCGGCGGTCGCTGCGAAGGGCGACTCGTCGCTGCCGCGGCGGGGCGCTTTGAAGAGCGGCGTGTACTTGACGTACTTCTTCGCATTCGGCTCGCTGATGATCTTGTTGATCGACCCCGCGTCAGACATATCCTCGTCGGCTGGCGTCCCAACTGGCACTGGCTGCGCGCCGCACCTCGCGCCTGTGTCTGTGCCTGCCGGCCGGCCCGCCCGCCTGCCCGCCTGCCTGCTGCCAGCTAGGAACACGCGCGAGCGCTGTCACGACTGGAGGCGGCGGTGGTGGTGGTGGTGGCGGAGGGCGGGGACGCCCGGTGCCGCCGCCGCCACCACCGCCACCGCCGCGCCCCCTCTCTCGGAGCAGCTGAACGCGCTTGTGCCTTCCGCGCGGGCGGGCGGTTGGTTCGTTCGTTCTTTCGTAGGTTGGCGGTCGGGCGGTCTCCGAGACGAAGGCGCCGACCCGGGCCACGCGTTGCTGGGAACGGTTTCTTTTTCCGTAGACGACATGGGCGGCGGGCGCCTTGGGTGAGCCTTGCGGAAGTCGGAGTGCGTTTGACAATAGAGCGATGCGTTCGAGATTGCGCCCGTGTGCGGGCGTGCAGTGCAGGTAAAGATGGCAGTGGCAGTGCCGGAATTGTTGTGACTGTCAAGGTGATGTAAGGAATTGTGACGGAAAAGGAGGTTTAGAGGGATCAGTAGAAGCAGGGTTTTAAAAATTAAAATGTCGCCGGGACAAAACTTCTTACATCTTCTCCAAGAGTAGGGGAACACACTTGTGAATTAAAATAAGAATGCCCTTAGGAAATACTTCATTTAATTTCCAAGAGCACATTCCTTGAGTTTTGTATACATACTGTACGAATGTCAAAAACATGTTACCAAAACTAAGACACATTAACGAAAGGAATACTCTTAAAAAGTCTTCTGAAGTATGCCTACTTATTCTTCAGTTCTCGCCATATCGTAATTTGTTTATTTTTCTATTGGGTTTGTTCTTTTTTATGACTTTCGATGTTTGTTATTGTTTGTAGTGAATTTGGTAAATTGTTTGCGACTCCCTTCATTTCAGCCAAGTTGTTCGTTCATGACATATTAGAATGCACTCTGAACTTAACGGTATGCCCTTCTTATTTACGCATTTTTTGTGTTTGTGAATTCGACAAAGGGACTACAAAAATTTAGAAATATGTCGTGAGGAATCGAAAATTTGTTTTAAAACTGTTACTTTTACTGCGACAAGACGATGGTAACAATGAAGTTGACGTCTCACATAATGTCTTCTGTCGCTCTCTTTAAAAACCCTTTCACTAGCAACCAACAGCAGCTGCTGCCTGAGAGCAGTAGGACGAAATGTCGACAAAAACGTGCAAACATGTTTTGTGTGCCTCTCGTAGAAAGGTTTACTACCAACTATAGTATAAAAAACAGTGTGGACAAAGAATACAAATTTAAAAATATGCTGCTTGGATGAATACTTTTTTGAGCTCCGATTACGTTCCATGTGAAGTTTTATTGCGATACGCGTGTGTCTTGTGGTACTCGACTACTGGAACGAAATATATGCTCTGATTTTTATCAATAATACATTTTTTTAAACTTGGATATTGCTTGTTTTACATCATTTCATGAATTGCAAATAGATGCAGTAGAAGTCTGCGTCTGTCTCTCTTAACTAGGGGCCTATCTATCAATGTTTTGTTTCAGTATCTCATACTTCATAATCAAAACATTTGAGATGATACCTTTTACATAATTGTGACACAGATATTACTTGTGTATGTGTTTCCTTTTGTGTTTCGATATATTAAAATAAAATGTGAATGTATATACGATTATGAATGCACGCAGGGGTGGATTAAGAATACATATGTAGACTTAGCACGCCAAGCAAACTTAGGTTCTCCGCTGGATAGAAGCTCCCAACAAAATTTAAAGCAAACATTTTATATTTGTCTACAAATATTAAAAATGTTTGGCACGTTTTAAAATCCCAAAGATTATTTTTTTTATTTTCTCATTCATGTAGATTATTTCTATTAAATTTCTGAATATTATTAGGAGGCCATAATTTGCACATGCTTTCGGCCCCTTAAAACATTTATCCGGCCCTGAACGTAAACATAGTTCTTATGCGTGAGTGGATATTATACGCACACGTTTTCTTGAGCCCCGGAATACCTATCCCACTCATTTACTGATCTTACTTCAGTTAAGAATAAATGTTAGCGACGAACGTTGCTTACAAAATCTAATTAGCAGAAAAGTTCAGTCCCGTGCAGAAACTGTTTTGCATTTAAAACCACCTACACATTTTATATAATAGACCCCTCACTGAAATAACAAACCCAGTCTTCCTCTCGCATCTAGCGAAGTAAAGGCACAAAAAGACAGTGCTTGAATAATATTTTATTTATTTATTTTACTTTAAAGAACATTTAAAAATTGTGTGCGACTTGCTACGGAAAGAAGTGTATTCTATGCACGATTTTTAATTCTGGGGTCCCTAACCTAAGCCATATGAAAGTTGAATTCTGAATACAGAAAGAAATAGACGTTTCGGCAAGAATTTATAAAAAAAAGTATTCTCTGCGACGTAATAAAATCTATTTTCTAGGGCAAATCAGCTGTAGATTTGGTCACTTACGCCTCGTGTTCTTTGTAAAGGAATACTTCCAATCGCAACAATATTAAGAACGATGATTTGAATAAATTTTTATTTCCCACTGAACTTTAGAAGACGTGCGAAGAGTGAGGTTCCATTTGGGCATAGAGATGCGACATTGCCAAGAAAATATTGTTTCTAAGCATCAAATCTCAAAATTAAAACATCAATGTTAATAAAACATCGACCTAAAACCATCGTTGCTAAAATGGTTGTTTTAACATCGATGTTAAAACTGTATTTTTACCACTGAAACCGCTTTTACCACTGAAATTTACGCGGATGGGCTACAATTTGAAACCTTATTAATTTTTAAAACTGACAAAACGAAGTAAAAAAATCGTCAGAACAATTAACAAAACTTGGATTTTCTGATAATTCATAAATAATATAGGCTTCTTTATTGCCGGAAACTAGATTTTAATTATTATTCACCACTTTTCTCTGAATATTCATTTTCTGGATATCCAGAAATTATTATAGAATTTTGTTATATTTAAAATCTATCGACTATGTACAGACATCGAACTCAAAACATCGATATTCAAAAAGATCAACTCAAAAGTATCAATGTTCAATACATCGATGATTTTTATATAAATATCGATGTTTTGAAAACATAGACCTGGATGTCACATTCCATATTGTGCGCAGTGCGCAAAACATCGATGTTAAATAAGGCATCAGCTTAAAAGAATCGATGTTGAGTACATTGATGATTTGATATAAACATCGATGTTTTGAAAACATCGTCATCGATGTCACATCCCTATTTGGGCCCAGTGAAAGAATCGATGTTCAATTCATCGACCATTTTATGCAAACATCGCTGTTTTGAAAACATCGTCATCGATGTATCCCCATTTAGGCCCAGTGCGCTGCGGGCGCCAGGCGGGGCGGGGCGGCGTCCGCGAGGCCAACGCGCTCTCCGCTGTTCCGCCGCGTGTCGGCGCGCACACGGTTGCGCATGACGGCTCGGCGGCAGGGAGGGAGGGCGGTCGGGCGTGAGCGCCGGCTGCGGCTGTGTGTACATTCGCGCGGGCGCGGGCGGCAAGGTAGCGCGACGCCTTCGCCACGTGGTGGCTGCAGGCGACGGCAACGCTGGCGGCGGCGATGCTACAGGTGTGCAGAGGCTGCCGTGTTGTCGGTATTGCGGTGGGAGCGTAGTAAGTGGGTGGCTAAAGTGTAGGTGGGCATTTCATTGGGTCGGTGGGTGGGTTGGTTCGGGAGAGAGACAGCGGTGGGCGAATGGGCGGCATCGTTGGCTGCGGCGCTGAGAGAACGGCGTGCAGAGGCCGCAAAATATTCGGGAATGTGCATTGTAGTGGTGGCGTCAGTGGGTGATTAAAACGTAGGTGGATGTGGCTGTTTC